GGGCCCAGACATATGGTGGGTGAAGGGTATGGACCACGGGGTTTGGTGTGGGTAGAGCAGCAGGTCAGTGTGAGATGGAGCAGGCCAGTTAGGGTACGGCCTTCCACTGGACAGTGGCCTGTGCCCCTGATTCATCTGGCATGTGTGAGTGGGCTAGATGTTCCTACCGATGGCTTAGAACCCTGGTCAGGACCACCGCACACCTTCCAAGCTGCTGGTCACATCCCTGGGCCCAGAAGCAGGCACATCTGCTGTAAGTGAATTTAATGGGTTGTTTAGCTCCATGCTTCTGGGAGGATTTTCTGATGACCTTGCGTGGTGTGCTGTTGAATTACTATGTGTTTATTGAGCATGGTGGTCCTGTGAGTGTAGCACTGCCATTTCTCTTTATGCTGTGACACCATGGTCCCTTCCTGCTTTTTGCTGAAATTTAAAGCACAAACATAAGTAATGAGCGAGGTGATATGCAGGCCAGTAGCCTGTTAGCTAAGGTTCTGGAGTACAGGTTGTGTGCAGAGTGTCCCGGGGGGACCTTTGGGGCTGGGGGACCTGGCTAGCAGTGCATGCTGACCAGGTAGCAGGAGAAGGGGGTCGGCACCCTGTGGAAATGAGATGGGTCCCTGGGGCGGCCTTGAGTTGGTTATGTCCCTCCGGGCTGCTGAGGTAAGGGCTAGTGCCAGCAGTTCAGGAAACACAAGTGGAGAGCAGCGCTCCCATCCCCTGTGAGCATTGCGCCTGCTCTGTGGCTGTGAGGGCGCCAGGAGAACCTTCCTGCCCCAGAAGGGACTCGGAATTCAGTGGGAGCCAATGAAAGGAGGACAACAGGCGCTGTCACAGTGAGATTCCACGTGGTGGTGCTTATCAGCACTATCCGTGCCTCAACAGATCAGTATCCTCCTCTGGCTCAGGGTTCTCATATCCAGTCACTTTCCTGAGACCTGCCCACCCTCCCTAGAGGACTCATCTCAACCTAAAATGCCCAGCTTTTCCTGCAGCAGAGTAACCCCCTATCCTACCCCAGGCTCATCCTCACAAGTCCTGGCACTTTGCTGAACTGGAGGGCAGGTGGTGTCTCCGCCAGTTCACAGTGGAGGCCCCAGGCCCCAGTGTCTCATCCTCCCCTCTTTTGCTGCCTTCCCCCTTCCTCCATCTCTTTCAAAAGTGTCTTTTCATGTGGAACATCCTCCATGCAGTGCAGTAGCCATTGCAGAAGAAGGCACATCACTATGTTCAGTTAAAGGATAAAAATAAAACATGTCCTTACCACTCTGCTTGGGAAGCAGAAGGAGTCCAGTGCTTTGGAGAGCTGCCTGTGATGAGCTGAAAGTGGCCGTAGTCCCTCAACAGGGTCTTTATCCTGTGTGAGCGCCACTCACTGGCCACTGCTTCTGGCTCCTGGCTGGGCCTTGTGGTTAGTGCTGGGTCCTGCAGCTCTGACCTCCCCACCCACTACAGTCTGGGGCCCTCCTTCTCTGTGGGTCCTGATAGCAGTCCCTGGGCCTTTCCTGGGCCATCACTGGGCCAGGTGCCTGGACCCTGAGGAGGCTCACTGCCCCTGGCTGCTCTTCAGGGCAGTCACTTACCCACAGCTTTAATTCAACACACATACTTCTTCAAAACTTAAAGTAACGGAGGCAGCCATGAATGAAACAGGGTCAGTTATCATAAACGGCTGATAATTTCTCAAGGAAACTCAGAAGAGAGGGGTGTCACTGTACCATGGGCCTAGGTCGTGGAATGGTGTCTGGGCTGCCTTGTTTTTAACAGCCAAGATCATTGAGTGTTAGGTGTGGAAGTTGTTCCAGAACCTGATGAGGCCTCCAGAGGGTGAGAGAAAGGTAGATGGGACAGCTTTCTTTTCTCCCTCTAATCCACATCTGAAGTCTCCTCCCAGCAGGTCCTGTAGTTGAGGGTGGGGAACACATGCTGGCATGGGTCAGAATGATGATGCTCTCGGGGCTGAGGGAAGGGTGGGTTTTCTGGGACCTGGGCTAGCTCTGATATGTTGGTACAGACATCCAGGGGAGGTTAGGGGAGTTGGGGCCCAGCCCAGGGGGTTCTTGAGTCCGAGGTGCCAGCCCTTCCTTCTGTCTTCATAGCTTCCAGATAATGGGACATTCCACTGTGGCATAGAAGGTGGCTAAATTCTTCCCTGTTTGGGAAAAAATAGAAGAAACACCTTGGAGGGTTGCTGGGAGTTGGGGGTGGGGATTGTGTCTGTGAAGACAGAGACAGAAAGAAAAATGGGTCATGGACAAAAAATAGAAGCAGCAGGCAGGAATGTCTGTGGGGCACCTTATTTTCAGTGGCCTCTGATCAGGTTGCCACGTGGGCCCTGCTGGGCGGCTGGTGGTGCTGACCCCAAGCTCAGCTGCTTACTCTTGCCCTGGCTACATGAGTGGCCCTGCTCATACCTCTGCCTTTCTGGGTTGAGCCTGGCAGAGCCTTGAGTCAGCATGGTTCATTCTGCCAGTCATCTTCTGAAATGAGTTTTTGAAGTAGTCGCAAACTTACAGAAAAGTTGAAAATGTGTGACAAAGAACCGTTCGAGATGACATGGCAGCAGTCTGATACCCCATGAACCCGAATATACTGTGTCTGCTTCCCACACACGAGAACTTTCCTACACAGCTGCTTGGGCGGTCAGAACTGGAGAGCATCCTGGCCCCACTCAGGGCCCTCAATTGTCCAGTGACGCCTTCATGGCCAGAGTGCCGATCAAGATTGAGTCTATCTTCAGCAGTCTTCCCATGAAGGGTGCAGGCCTGCCACCTTGCTCAACTTCCTCTCAGTCCATCTGTGCGTCTGCAGAAATGCTGGGCACAGACTAGCCCACCAAGGATGCTTCCCGTAATCACATGGTTGAGGGGTATTGCCAGGGTTCTCCGAATGCAGTCATAATTAATAACTTTTGTAGGGAGTTACTTTGGAACTTTGCGAATGTCTCGGTTTTACCAAATTTTCCATTTATTACTCTCTGTGGACTCATGGTTTGGATTTATTCAGTAGGTTGTGTGCTCCATTGATGAGTTACCTATCACTGTGCAAAAGCGACCCAACCCCATACTGTACACACACAGTCTCCCCCAGTCTCTGAGGTCAGGAATTTAGCAGTGGCTTAGCAGGCACTTTGGGATCAGGGCCCTACATGAAGTGTGGCCAGGGCTGGCCTGGGCTGGTAGGGCTGATCAGGGCTCACTCAGCAGGCTGCTGGTGGGAGACTTAGTTTCTAGCCAGGTGGGTTGTCCCTCAGGGCCACTCATGATGTGGCATCATGTGAGCAAGTGATCCATCCATAGGAGGGAGAGACATAAAGAGACAGATGATAGAGATAGAGATATTGAGACAGAAATAGACATGGATACTGAGAAACAGAGACTGAGACACAGGCTGAGAGACAGAGAGATACTGAGAGAGACAAATGGAGAGAGACAGGGAGAGACAGAGACTGAGACTGAAAAAGAGCAAGAGAGACAGAAGTAGAAACAGATTGAGACAGACAGACTGAGACAAAATAAGAAAGAGAGACTCAGAGAGTGATACAGACATGAAGACAGATAGCAAGAGGGGCAGGGAGAGACAGAGAGAGCAAGAGGGAGGAACAGAGACAGAGAATGCACATATGTGTGTGTCCGCAACCCGCACTACCCCATCCCGACCTTGTAACTTCATACTAGCAGGGGCACCCATTCCTCCTGCCACGACAGATCACTTGCGTTCTTCTTGTGTGCATTTGTGGACATGTCCTTTAAACATTATGTTGTCACTGTGTATTTTGAGGCTCAGAATGTCAGATTTGGCCAGGGATTGGCCCTGGGTGCTGGCTCCCTTGTCTTCCTGTTTGTCTGTCATTCTCTAAGCACGTCCTCACTTTCTGGCACAAGGAGATGTCCAGTCCCCCTCGTTCTGTCCCTATTGACCTGAACCTGCTGTTTCTTGGGGATCCTGTTCTCTCGGTGTCCGAGTTCCAGTGGTGCATGTGCTGTTGGTCATGGTTGCCCCAGGCCTGTTCAGTGGTTGGTTCAGAAACACACCTGTTTTGTACGTTGTTGCCATATGCACATATGCTCATGTCACCATTTGCGTGTATTTGTCTGTCGTGCATTGAAAATTGTGAGTTTACACAAATCCTGACCACTGCAAGGTTCCTTCTCTAGTTTTTTCCCTTTCCATGTGGGGATCCTATGGTGACAGAAGCCTCTGGCCTCCTCTATTTTGTGGTTTGGCCACGGTTATCCTTGGAGAGAGCTGTGATGTTTCCTGGGGAGCCTCGGCTCCTTTACAAATTCCCTCAAATGCTCTGTTGGGCGAATCAGGTTCAGAATCTTGCCAGGCATGGTACACACCTTCCTGATCTCAAGTTACAGAATGTGCCTCTTTCCCCC